CCCCCCCCAAGTTTCTAACCTTCATGCCGATTCTCGAGCAGGGGTAGTTTGTTCCGCCTCATTCACAGGCCGGCTTCTGGGGAATTGCTAGACCAAAGGAGGCGGCTACGGATGGCATTGGATGTGGTTTGTGACTTGTCGCCTAATGCTAACTTTAGAATATGTTTTGGAGAAAAAGATGAAATAATTGTGTTTTGTTGGAGCAGGCGAAGGGGATCAATTACCTGCATTGTCTTAACCCGCCCGTTGTCCATTGGGACCTGAAATCTCCGAATTTGTTGGTTGATAGGAACTGGACAGTGAAGGTATGATTTGAAACTGATAAAAATGTTTTTTCTTTTATTATGAACTCCATCATTTGCTTCTCTTGTATCAATCTCTTGCCTCACCGCTGTTGTTAGGTTTGTGATTTTGGGCTGTCCAGATTCAAGGCAAACACTTTCATACCATCTAAATCTGTTGCAGGAACGGTTAGTTCTCTGCTCTTGTTCTTAAGATGTGATTTTAGACAGTACTTCAAGACACATGCATAGAAAGTTGTGATTGCATGTATCCGCCACATATAATCATATATATACACACACACACACATATACATGATTCACCATTCATGTCCATGTAAACATACGTATGTGTAGGTTGTCGTATCTCTGTTTCTCTGTTTCGGAAACATTATTTGGCTCCTTATAGATACAAATTCAGGGATAGTCAAATTTTGTATTGTTGAATGCTTGAATCATCATGTTCTATGACCGGAAAAGAAAGTTAGACATATCTGTCTGTATGTATGCAGGTCGAAAATGTATTTGCCGTGCAAGGGTATCACTGAGTAATCTCTCTTGCTTTTATTTTCAGCCCGAGTGGATGGCCCCAGAATTTCTTCGTGGGGAGCCCTCGAACGAGAAATCCGATGTTTACAGTTTCGGAGTGATCCTCTGGGAATTGGTGACTTTGCAACAGCCCTGGAATGGACTCGGCCCCGCACAGGTAATAAAATTTTAAGCGGCTAATAACATTGTAAAAGATTATAATAAAGTGCTTTTCCTTGCGCAAAAGGCGAACTTCCTTAATTGTTTGTGCACGCAGCTTCTAAATTCCGATTTCCTAACCCGTGGTAACGCGTCGAATGAGCAGGTCGTGGGTGCGGTTGCCTTCCAGAACAGAAGGCTTACCATTCCGCAGAACACCTCCCCGGTTTTGGCGTCTCTAATGGAAGCTTGCTGGGCCGAGTAAGTATATATTATCGCAAAATTCTCCATTTTTCTCGCTGAATTCTCGACGTTATAATCTCGGTATCGCCCCCGCAAATCCTCATTCCCGGGTGTTGATTATCGTCCGACAGCGACCCTTCACAACGTCCGTCTTTCGGGAGCATAGTGGAGACTCTCAAGAAGCTGTTGAAATCTCCAGTGCAGCTGATCCAAATGGGTGGATAGCCGTTACAATGCCAAAATCAAGCAGACGACTATACATCTATATGGTTAACTTACATATGATATTCGCTAACAGAGAAACCCCACTCGTCGAGGTCCTTTGGAAAAGAATAAACTTGTAGATGGTAACGGTTAAGAGCTAACCCCCCGGTTAATGAAGAAAACCGATGAAAGCAAAGGCCTTGAAAACCGGATTATTTCCCAGTCTGGAAGGAGGAAATATGAATGAAACTTTTATTTTTAAAAAAAGAAATATGAATGAAGCTTATTACAAGGAACATATATTGATATATATATATATATATATATATATATGCAAGTGCAAAGAGTGTTGTTGCTCTTGTTTTGTTGTTATGGATTGGGACTGAGAGACAATCCAAGGGAGTTGGGTCTGAAATTATTCTTAGAGGGATTTTATTATTTTTTTCCTTTTTTTATTTAAATTTTCTGGTTTTGAATGGAATAAAAGCGAACTCACCTCATCCAAGTGTCCTTCTATGGATTTTATATTTTCATTCATCCAAACATTTGTTTTCACATTCTAAATGATTATCGGTTGGAGATTTAAGGGAGTTTATAGGATTTAAAGAAATTAGTTTTTATGCATTTATGTTTTTTCCAAAATTTAATTGATGAAAGAAAACAAATAAAAGTCGTGTTTATGGAATTGAGTTTAAAATTTGGTTATAGTTTATATTATTTTTGGTGAATGACAAAATTCCACATTTAATATGGATTTTTTTATAGTTGAATATGTTACATGATCATTTTCCATTTTTGTATTTTTTTTGTGTGCAGTAAAATCATTGGTTACTGGACCACTAATTGAGGTGTTAATTCGATAAAATTGACAATTTCTTGTTTTTTTTTCCTTCCAATTTTCCTTTGTAGTAACTTGCAGAGTTTGGGATTAACTCTAGGGCGTTTCGCTTTGGCGTCCCTTTGCCCCTAAGAAGAGTAAGAATAATGGAGAGAGCGAAGAGGGAACGACGGAGAGACGACGGCAACGAGGAAGAAGAAAGAAGAGGCGAAGCTCCACCGGAATTTCCCCTTCTTCCGCTAGAGATCATCAGGGAGGTTCTCCTTCGTTTACCCGTGAAATCAATCGGCCGATTCAGGTGCGTGTCTAAGCTCTCTCGCGCCCTCTCATCGGATCCTGAGTTTGCGAAGACCCACCTCGATCTATCCCTTCGAAACGACGCCTTCCGATCAGGTCGGCGAAAGCTCATCGTGTCTTTCCACAATCTCTACACGGTGGATTTCGATTCGATCGGTGATGGGTGTGAAGGAATTAGGGAGTTGGATGCTGTGGAGATCAGTTACCCGCTCAAAGACCAACCCAGCTTCTTTTGTGAGATTATTAGAGGGTTAGTCAGAGGTAGGATTTCGTGCTTTGGTTTCACGTTCGAAGAGCGTTCTGTCATGGTTAATCTCAGTTCATCGCCTTATCGGAGAAACTGGGTCGATATTGTCGGATCTTGCAATGGTTTAGTGTGTATCTCTCCTGCTGACGGCGCCGTGT